AAGAAGAAGAAGAAGAAGAAGAAGAAGAAGAAGAAGAAGAAGAAGAAACTTGGGCAGGGTGGGAGGGGAGGCACTGGAGGAAGTAAGGGTATGAATCAATCAAAATGCACTATATGGATGTAGGAAGTGCTCAAAGAATTAATAACAATATTGTACTTTTAAAATGTTTTGACATAGATGAGGGAGGGAGGGTAGGGTAGGGAGGGAATGAGGAGGGGGCTACAGCTGGGATACAAAGTAAATTAACTGTGATTAATAAAAAAATATTCTGATTGAAAAGCAAAAACAAAAAAAAAATGTTTTGACATTTTTTAACCCTGGGGTTTGAGGTATATATAAGTCACTCACAGAATATGCAGCTAACCTGTGAAATCCCAAACAATGAAATAAATACATTAAACTTTTCTCTGAAATGTAGATAGGAATGCTTCATAAAATTGACAGGGAACATTGACATAAATTTCTAAGAAAAGGAAACATTACCATATCATGTAATTTGTCCAACAATATGACATTTTTGAGGATATAGAAAATCCAAAGTAAAGGGGTTGATATAAAATTAGTTTGCAGCGGGAAATTGATCCACAGTGTTTTCTCACCTTTTAGGTGGTATGTTCTATTTTTCAGTGTATGCATGGCAGATACGGGGTGAGCGCAGCAAAGCCCTGCTGTGTTTGTCGTTCACTGGATGGTGATGGTGCTGACTATTCTGAGTCATACATCATAATCTCTCTGCTTTATTTTTAGTTTTGCTAAAGGGAGGAAAAAGAGAAGAAGAGAAACCATTTCGAGATTGTGCCGATGTGTATCAAGCTGGTTTTAATAAGAGTGGAATCTACACTATTTATTTTAATAATATGCCAGAACCTAAAAAGGTAAGATCAGAAGTGCCTGTTTATGCGATGTAAAGCAGATCCTAGTGAATTGCTGTATAATCAAATAAGTTTGTGAGTTGTTAAACAATACACATCATATACACATTGATGCACACACACACACACTCACACATGTATGCACGCACACACCCATGCACTCGCATGCCTCAACTGATCTTTTCTGTCCCCAGAGAGATTCTATGTTTCTCTGGTCCACGGGGGATGAAAATCATACTCTGCAGACATTCTCTAACCCCAGTACCTCTGATCTGTTAGTCACACAAACTTTTATTTTCTTCTGTTTCCTGGATTTCACAGTGCTCAGACGTGTGCTGCATGAAGCGCATGCTGGTGCCACATCTACCGTTAGTGCACGGGGTAACGTTAGAAGTCATCTTCCAATGTACCAACCTGTCAGGGAGCATGAGCCAGAGAGCAGGGCAACTCCAGCGACTTACAGAATTATTGCTCCTGACAGGTGGGAGAAAAGCATTATATCTTAACACAGGATCGTGAAAGGGTGTGCCTCTCATGCTTACTTGAGTTCAGGTGGAAGGAACATACTCATCTTTACGTTGGTCAGTGCCCAAAGTGAACTTGATTAGTCAACATCTTGCTAGCCTATCTCTTTTAGAGACCCTCTCCACATTCATACATTAACTCATCCATCTATGCCCTCATTCAATACACTTAATTAGATGCCATTCATTTGACAGTCACTGACAACATAACAGACCAAACGGTTCTCAGTGTAAGGAGAAGGCAGGCATTTACAGAGTTACCCAGTACTACAGAAGTGCAGTGCTAGAGATGTCTCTTTGAAGGAGGTTACATAGGGGCCTTGAGGTGAGGCATCCAAAGACAGAGGCAGTAGACCTACCCACTCTTCAACATATAAAAGTTTTGCTGGATTTAGGTTCAAAGACAGGTGCCTGTTCTGGGATAAAACACTTTCCTCTGGCCTGTGCCACACCTGTGTATGCCTTATTCTTTTCTTTGAATTCTGTGAAAAAATGCCCATCCAGCCTCCCTACATTTCCCCAGACAATTTTGTGTGACATTTCTATTATTAGAGTTCTACGAAGTAGGGACTGTGGCTTTTTGTTTGTGACTTCCTGGAGCCACGCAAGTTTTCTGCACTCAGTAGGTCCTTAATAAATAAGCACTAGAATGAACAGATGAAGAAAGGGCACACTGACGGTGACGTCAGTGCGCCTATCCGGGATACACTCTGCCTAACAGTTGTCCGAATTTGGGCCTTCTGATAAGCAAAGGAACTGAATCTTGGAGACCAGAGTACCAGATGTCATGCAGTTCCAATGCCTGGTGTCTGCTCTAGAATGCAGGACCCATCAAAGGCTAGATCCCTTTCTGCCCCTGTCTCTTACCTCTGATTTCAATAAGGACTATTGGGTAGAATTGTCTCACTGTTTTTCTCTTCTCTGAGACTAAGTTTTCTTCTTAAAGGAGGCATTCAGTTTTGCTCTACAGGTGGGGGTGCAAAAGATGGGTCAGAAAGCACAGGGGTAGGGGGAAAGTAATATCAGCCTTCTGAGCTTCCTCAGCTTCTTACACCTTGATTTCACCTGTTTTTCCTGTTGATGTTCTGGGCAGTATTCATTGGACTAAGTAATTTACGGTTTTACATAAAACCAAGAAACATACAACCAATATGAAGATGCAAGAATGAGGAGATGAGACTAGCTAGTAGTTGAGAAGGGGCATCCTACAGGAAGTCACAGACACCCGCCCCCACACACCCTATGCCAGCAGCATGTAAATACGTAACAGTTTGTTCTTGAGGAGCTAAGGAAGCACAGCAGAAAATCCAGAGTCCTAAACACCCTGGCAGCTGCCTTTTACCTTATCAGCTAACTTAAAAAAAATGAAATGACTCTCCCGTAGAGTCCTTAGTATCCTGTAATCTCCACAAATATAAAACAATAAAGTAATTGTCAAATGTCCAGACTGGGACAAATATGGAGGAAAACTGGTCTTCATGCTTGTTTCACTCCATCACCCATGCTACTGTGAGGTCCCTGAGGAAGGACAGTACCACAAATAAAGTGTCAATCATCCTGTGAACCTCAATTGGCATAATCTAATTCATAGAGAAGCATAATTCAGCTCTCTTTCAAACTGTTTTGAGAAGCAAGTGATATCCAGGCTACAAGCTAAACCGCTGTTCCTGTTAAAGTGGATAGAGTCAGTTCCTCTAACTCATCAAGCAAACATACATTTCGTATTCACTTTCAGCCAAATGATACTTGACATTTTGGATTTGATAATTTAGAGTTCATCTATTAAAGTACTACTTTTGAAGCTCTATTATGTGTGAAAATGTAATTTTTAGGGGGCTAGAGAGATGGCTGAGCAGTTAAGAGCACTCACTGGCTGTTCTTTCTAGATGTCCTGTGTTCAATTCCCAGCAACCACATGGTGGCTTACAACCACCTGTAACGGGATCTGATTTCTTCTTCTGGTGTGCATGGAACATTACTCATATACTAAATAAATAAACAAACAAATATATCTTTGAAAATGTGATTTTTAAAACACTCTCTTGAGGAACTCAACGTAAGAGTCAGCTACCTCATTAGTATAGGGTCTTCCAGCCTTTTCATTATAGGAATTAGAAGTATTCATTATTAAAAGGTTAAAGGAGTATTTTTTTTCTTTCCCTCTGACAAACAGCAATTTTGTTCTTTCAGACTGGCATACCTTACTTTTTAATGACTGGTAACATTTTGTTTGAAATCCCTTCTTATATTCATTTAATATGGCCTTAGAAAGAACAAATATTCATGAATTCTATACAAGTATTTCAGAAGCTAATGTGACTTGAGAAACTTAATTATAAGGCCCTTCCAGTTAGACTGGGTGGTCAACAAAACACCTGCTATTACTCTTGAATATGCTGAGTTAAAGCTCAACTTCTTTCTTTTTTTTTTTTTTTCTTTTCTTTTTGTAATGTTCTCACAAGTTCATCAGAGGTTAAGGAAACTCAAGTCTATAAAAACTAACAATACTGAAATTCAGTTAGGTGTGTATGATATGGAATATGAAGCAAACAATAAAATTGAGCTGTCTAACACAGGCAAAGCAGCTGACAGCACTTTGTCATTCTTTAGGAAGTGTAGGGATTGCAATATACCAGAATTATGTATTTACTTTAATGTACATATTTTATACACTCTATTCTGACCATAGGTCCCTTCCCCAGATCCTCCCACCCAATCTCATGCCTTTTGCCTCCTTTTAGAAAACAAGAAAAGAAACCAGAATTAAAAAAAAAAACAAAAAAAAACGGAAAACACAAGGCACACACACAAACACACACCATAAAAAACACAAAGACAGAAGCCATAATATACTAGCAAAAAAGATGTCCAGACACAGCGATGTGAGACAAGAAGTCTACAAATATGCCATTGAGTTCCTCTCGTGTTGATCTTTTCCTGTTGGGAATGGGGTCTGCCCTTGAGTGTGGTTAATGTACGTGGAGAGACTGCATTGGAGAATTTTTCATTTGTGCGTAATGTAAGCTGGAGATGGCTTAGGGGTGGGACCTGCTGTCCACTCCCCCCTTTAAGCACCAGGACCCCATCTGGCTTGAACCTCTGCAGGTCTCGTGCATACTGCCACAGTCTATTTTGACTGACATTGTTTATGTCCAAAAGGGAGAAATGATTGCTAAAGTTTAAAAAGTGATTTTTAATGTCACTGGAAGACAAAAGTGGTAGTTTAGGATAATTTAATTTTCAAGCAGACAGAAAATGAGAATTCTGTCTTTTATATCTTACTTTTGTTTCATAGTGTTCATGGTTTGTGGTTATTTCCCTGTGCATTCCCCTCGAAGCACAGTAGTGGGAAACAGAATTTCTCTTTTCATTTCACAAGTGTTTGAAGCCAAATGCCCTGTAGTCAGCTAGCTTCATCCAAAAACAAACCATTAAATCATAAGTCTTACTGTAAAATATTAAAAATTTGTTTCTGAGTACATAATTCCTCTAATTCTTGAAAAAGTGCTGTAACAAATGTGTTAAGCCTTTTCCATTTAAGGATATGGAAAAATCATTAGCATCCAGAAGCCTAATCATTCCAATTTGTATAAAGCATAGAAGCATAAAAAACTATGCGAATCAAATTCCCCTTTTGTTTGGGATTTAAATCTCCATATTAAGTTAAAAGGTGTTTAATGCTTGAAAGCTTTGACCTTGCCTGGGGAAGAATCCAGTACAGCCTTTTCTTGGCCAGAAGTAAGCCCCAGTCATTGAATCAATAGATGCAACAGACAGAGCAAATGGAGCGGGCCCCATCCACAGGAAGAGCATGCCAGATAACACAGACCACACAAGACCAGCGAATGAACTCTTCAGGTCTCTCATGTCGCAAATCCTTCTGACACTGGTCAAATATGCCACGGAATGTCCTTCATCTGTTAGGAAGAGACTTTTTATTTTTCTTCTCACTATGGATAAAAATTGGGTTCTCATCCCTCTGTTTTTCAATACTGTATTTAATTTAACTCTATAAGTAGGTATAAATGAGAAATTAGCATGATCAATCTTCATGGTGTCAATGTTAAGAAGCACAACCTAGGAACCATACTCATAAGGCAAATTGTTGAACATTTGCACATTTTGGCTTTGAATAGTCAATTCCATTCATAATAAATTATAAATAGTATAAATCATGTTCAATGTCACATATAACAATACTTCAATGTGTTAAATATTATGCTAAATACATATAATAGGTAATGCATAGTATAAACCTGTATTATATTGTCTGTATAGTACATCTAAGGTCCAAGAGTAATGGCAGTGCTTATGCCAAATACTGCTTAAAGAACTCTATGTGCACTGAATCTTCACACACACACACACACTCACACACACAATTGAGAAAAAGCAGAGTTGCAGCTTTAATCCAGGTCCTCGAGTAGGCTCAGGTATATTGCCCCCATGCCCCTATAATGACATCTGCTACCATTATTGTTGCATGTCCACAGGAATCGGATCCATTTTAAAATCCCTCAACTTCTTTCTCTGGGTCTTCTCCTAAAAGGTATTCTCATCCCTTAATACTTCAAGTTGTTAGATGGCTCCTTTAAAAAGAAAAGCTTTGGGTTTTTTTTTGGGGGGGTGGGGGGGAGACTGTAAGTGTTTTAAAACAAAGTACATGGAATTACATTAACCAGTAACCGTCCTTAAAACCTCATGGCATAGTTTTTCCTAATCTTTGTAAATTTACAAATGTAGTGATTCCTTTCCTGAGTATGTAGGTTGGCTTTATAGCTTTATAACTTTGGCTGCTAACTTTTGTTGGTGCCTAAAGTTCCATCAAGAGATAAATGGGAAGGAGGGTGAGAGGAAGAATGGGGTCAGATAGATAAATAGAGAGAGATGCATACATACATACATACATTCTTTGGATTAATCAATTAATGCAGTGCAAATTTTAATTAAGAAAACAGTGACATTAGTTTCTTCTAGCAGAATGTCTCCTTGATATTTTCACTTCCATTACTTTCAAATGTTAGCTGCCCCGGGTGCTCCTTTGGAATCTCTGTCTACACTCCGTCTAAACTCTTCTGATTTTAGTCTCATGAGAATCCTGAAATCTCTCTGGGCAAGGACACTAATGACTCCTTCATTTTAAGTTTATAGGTATTTAAAAATATTCATTTAACTTGACTTCTCTCAAATGGTTGATTAATCTTGTTCCCAACCATGCATGTAATTCATTTTCTTGGGGTTCCTTTAATCACACTTTTCTCTTTTACAACTACAATATATTTTCATTTATTATCTACATTAGGTTACTACTTGAGAAACTAGAAATAACAACAAATCAAACCAAATATGTGTCCATTTAAAAGGTACTGGTGTGTATTATCTGTACTAATTATTTACCAAACTTATTCTTGAACTGCCCCCCCATCTATAATCACTTATTTATTTAAACAGTAGATTGCTATTCACGATATTAGGAGTTGCTTTCAATTACATTACTATCAGTAATTTTGAATTAGGCATACAGAGGGTTCAAACCCTAAATCTTAGTTAAGATCTATCTCAAATCCTGAATTCACTGTAGCTACTAAGTGTAACCATTGGTAGGCTGCTGCAATATTTTACACCTCAGTGTTACACTTGTAGATTGGATACAATAATCATACCTTCATAAACTGTTCTGGATGAAGTTAGAAAATGCATATTGTTTTAAAATTATCTGATGTGAGTAATCTTATAATTGTTAATGACTCTTCTTTATCCTCCCATTTTCTTGCTCATATAGCCTTGTTCTACCTCCAGTAAAAAATCTCATCTCTAGCTATCCTCTAATATTTCTTTTGTTGTTTAGCCATGCTATATGCAACACAGTCTCCTAAATGACAATAGTTCTTTTTTCTCAGGTGTTAGCTCTTTGTATTAAGTCTCTTTGCTTATATCACCACTTCTAGTATTTGTGAGGTCACTGAAGTTGTAAAATTATGAACTCTGTTGCCTTCATACCCTTTTGAGAGCAGTCAGTATTGAAATGTCAAGCCATTTTGAGGACACGTCCATATTCTATTCATCATAATTCCCTCTATTGTAATATAGACTCAATGTCAGAGAATGCTTGTTAAGGGAAAAAAGAAGTAGATGAATATATTAGAATTAAGGGGATAAATGAATATTTCATAATTAAGGGTAGACTTGTTAGGAGTCATGCTGAGGACACAGAGCAGATGGAGAAGGGTAGAAGGTTAGCAGAAAAGCAATCTTGGAATGGAAAGGGAATTGAAAATGAATGAATTTGGATATGAGTCAATTCCTAGGGATAATAAAGACATAAGGGTAAGTGTCAAACTGGAGGTAGAGCCCTCAGGAGACCAGTTGTCCTAACTCATCTGCACACGCAGACATGTATAAACGTCTTTGGAGTTCCTTCACTCCAAAGATGTACAGGAAAAAATGTCTGCTATGAATGATAGTTCTTACCATTGTTTTCATACCCTCCGCCTGGTTGTGCTCTAACACAATACCTCAGGGAAAACACCCTGGGATAGTGTCTGCTGGCTGCTGTTGCCTCATTTTCACACCTTTAGCCAACCTTCAACATGCTTCCTTATTCAGTTGGTGGAGGAATGGTATTCCTCAGAGTCCAGCCCTTGAAGAATCAAACGGCAAGAGGCACATGCCATGAGTCACAGTGACTGTTTCCCAAAGCAGTCCTTCTGTAATGCAGCTCTGTAAATACCACTGCAGAAAGAATTACTAAGAGAATAAATCAGTATTGTATGTAGAATAGTTGAAATAAGCACTAAATCTTTGAATTACTATTATACATAGGAAAGAAAACCTTGCCACAGTCAGGAGGCATACACTAATCCGTATTGTTCATGACTAAAATATAAACAATGTGTATCTCCATTCACAAAATTTTGCCCCCTGAAAAAAATGCAACAAAAATGCAACAATCTAGAATAATTATAACAGTATGTAATATACTATGTAAGCATTTGAGAGTTGTACCAAGGAAATATAAAAGTTTGAATTTTTTTTTTTTTTTTTTTTTTTTTTTTTTTGGCTTTTCCAGACGAGGTTTCTCTGTGTAGCCTTGGTTTTCCTGGACTCGCTTTGTAAACCAGGCTGGCCTCGAACCCATAGCAATCCACCTACCTCTGAGTTCTGGGATTAAAGGAGTGCACCACCACAGTCGGTTAAAAATTTTGAACCTTTTATTCTTATTTACATTGAAATTCTAATGAAAGATTAAATAGCGTTGAAATTTATATTTTGGCTAAAAATTAGTAGTAACATTGGGAACTGTAGTGATTTTTTGAAGTGTGAACTTCCACAAGTACCTATTTCAATTTGAGATTTTTTTTTTGAAGGTTTTTGGAGGGGAGTGTGGGCTGACCCAGCCAGGTCCTTTCACATACAAGACAAGCACGGTACCCCTGAGCCACATCCCAAGTGCTAAAACTGTACTGTGGTCTGGAACTAAGGCTGTTAATTTTCAGCTGGCCAGTTGACATTTTTAGGAATGATTGAACATTTCTGATGGAACTTTGTAGGGTTCAGCAAAAACGCAAATTGTGGGAGGAGTAACGAAACACGTGTATGAAATGCAGTTCTTTTTCTCTTCTTACAGGATGTACCTCTCCATTCTATTTATATTTTGAAACATATCAGATATACATTTCTTTAAGATATATGTAATTTCTGCTTTCCTTTTTTTCCTGTTGTTCCACAGGTATTTTGCAATATGGATGTGAATGGGGGAGGTTGGACTGTAATACAACACCGTGAAGATGGAAGTCTGGATTTCCAAAGGGGCTGGAAAGAATATAAAATGGTAAGATGGAAGAATTTACAATGTCTTTTGATGTTTTATATAAGGTTATCTTCATCCACAATATATGATAAACCCTTGCACTTCTAGATGCTTTTGAGTTATTTAAAATAACAATTCCTACATTAAAGTCATTGTTTTCTTTATACACAAATCATTCATAAATCACGATCAGTAAATGATTTCCATATGTGTAATAGAAAGAAAAATGCATTATTATAATTATTTGATGACCTGTTATGCACTGTCTGCATTTGTTTCTAGTGGGAGAAACAAGAAATCAGACGGAGGCTGGGCACATGAGTAGGACAGGAAACTGTTCAGGGGCACAGGTCATAGAGCAAGATGGATGCTGGCTTTGTCCTCTCTCACACTGTTTCATATTGTTGACGTCTGAACGGCAGTGTCTCCATATAACTTTTACTTGTGACTAGCCTGGACTTGGTGCAGTGACTCAGGATTGCCACACTTCTCATGTCAAAGTTAGCATTTCCCAAGTGCAGAAGCAAACATTTAGAGCCATTTTAGGGTAGAAGTTTTTCATTATTTTACATTTAAATTCCTGTGTAAGACTTGACTTGACTTTCTAACAATTTTTCTCTCCAAAAATGAAAAATAAAAAGTGACTGGAGTGTTCTGTTAGCCACAGTTCCATCAACAATGCAAAAACTGTGTTTGGTTGATTACAACCTACCCATTAGTTCATGGCTAACAAAAATAAGCAAAACGCCTAAGGAAATAAGTGGACATCTCCTGTGCTGTCACGTTATCTATGACATTTTGATGAGAAATTCAATCAACATTCTGAATGCAAGTTACTTGTTTGAAGTTACACAAATATGAAACCTTGACTTTAAAAATTCACAACATGGAAAAATAGGCCAAAACCAACAAAATGGAATTCTATAGAGATAACTGTGTGATCTTTTACTGAGGCAAAAACAACAAACAACCAGCGAGAACAGAATGGAAAGTGGACTTGTCACTGTGAGCTCAGTCTATGTTGTCACTTGTGCCGCAGTCATAAGCAGTAAGTCACAAACAGGCAAAGCTCAGCAGGCAAAGCTCACCACAGCCTGGTGACATGAGAAGCATGCTTGCTAAGGTGTTTTGTATCCTAGACACTTGCAGGCAAACACGCTAGTCCAGAGTCTACAAGCAGTATGTTAGAATTCAGGGGGGAAAGTCTAGAGCAAGTGAATACTTGAGGTTATATAATATGTAGAAAAAAATGCTTAGATGTAAATCTCTGCAGGAGCCATTTAACGAACCTCATTCAACCAGAGTCTGTGGCCGGTAATGTAGACCAGAGGCAACCTCATCTCCTAGAACTTTCCAGAAACACGAAATCTCAATCTCCTCCCACACTTGCTCAATTATACTCTGCATGTTAACCTTGCTTTTGTGGGAGAGGCAGAACAGAGTGAAGAACAGTTCAGAGAGGCAGAAAGGACCTATACGCACAGTATAATCACAGCACTCAACTGCAACTCCTTCTACTAGGAAATAGAATTTTATTGTGAAATAAGCCCTGTTCTCTCTTCAATGGAAGCCCTCCAACAAAACGCAGAACCTTATATTTTAGGATGGTTATGGGGAAATAGAATGGTAGCTTAGTTTCTGAGACCTCTTTCTGTTTATGTAATTCTATAGAAACGTGAGTGGTGGAGTTTCTTAAATTCAGAAAAAGAGTTCTGACATATGTCTGTACTAACATATCAAATTTTTATTTTCCCATTTGCTGATTGATCAGTTTTAGCGAAATCATTTTGCTCATGCTGTCTTCCTTTTCTGTTAACTCACACCTTAGCTTCCACATCTGCCTTGAGGGGACTCAGCATAGCAAACATAAAGCTTACTGAATTTTTAATAAATTATTACCATTATCAAGGATTAAAACTCCCAGGACTATAAAAATTTGTTAAATTCTACCCAGAGTGTCGTTTATTCAAACCGCTTTAATTCATAACTATTTTCATCCTACGGATATAGAAGTTATATAAGAATAAAACTATATATACAGATTCAAATCAATCTGATGTGCAATATTATTTAAATTAATGATAACAGGAAAGTGAATTGTGAAATTGCCATCATGCAGTTTTCAAAAGTGGTGAATTATTACTTGTGAATACCTGCTTCTTTAACACACTAAGAACGTTAAGATATAATGACTTGTTGGTATGAAACTGACTTCATGTCTTAAAGTATTTAGCAATTGAATCCATGCCTAGATAAATGGTTTTTCTTATTCAAACAGGGGCGGAATTATTCATTAACCATTGGAATTCATCCCTCCCCCTTATTTTTAAATAAGAAAAGCTATCATGTTTTACTCAGACTTGAAAAATTTATCACCTTGGTGTCAATTATTTATGGTCAGAAATTTATGGTCCCAAAATTTTTAAACATTTTGGCTAAATTGAGTATGGAAGTTTTGTAAATTAAAAGAATCCATTGGTTTAACCTTTATCAAAGCACAGGGTTAAAGCTGTTACAGCTTTCTCAAAGCTTTCCTTTCACCTACAAACAACGTGATTCCTCCATGCAAGGTGGAAGTGAGTATTCAGTCTCCAGGACACTGGCTTCAAGCTTCCTCAGCTGAGGGTGAATAAGCTCAGGGAAAATCAGACTTGTGTGCCTGGAGCTTTTCTTCCTGTTTCCACTAGTCTCCATCCCTGGGACATTGAAGGTAGCCATGACTCCAATCTCCCCCCCCCCCCATTCATGGCTGTCCCCCGTTTTTACTTCTTACTGGCTAATATATGTTTCCTGCCTCTTTCCCAAGAAGTTTTCCAAAATTTCGTGTTAAAGTCATCAACCCAAGACATTATAAACTATCCATTTATTTTTAAGCCACTTCCCAACATGGAAATTTCACAGCACTTGATACTGGCTTTAGCCATAGAAGCCTTTTGAACTTCCCTGTTTCTTAGTTAGCCCTCCTTAGAAGGAAGTCCAGCATAAACTCAGTTGCAGACTTGTAAACACATTTGCTGCTGAGAGGAAAGTCTGTGGCGGTTCTTCTAATGGGGCACTTATGGACTATTCTACTCCTTTGAGCCGTGGGACACCACTCTCACTAACAGTCCTTCTGCATATAAAACCAATGAGAGGAGCTTCCCAGCAACCTAAGTGGCAGCTTTATGACAGGCAGTCACTAGTGCCCTGGAGACAAACTTGGTTTGTTTTGAAGACAATTATCCCTATAAACAAAACTTCCTAAGAAACAAGCATTTCCTTTTGAGCACCTCAGTACTTTCTGGGACAAGAAATAAAATGCATCCTTTAAATTGCATTCCTACATGCCTACATTGAAAATATACGTAAGAAATTCTTTAAATAAAAATTTCTTTATGCCTTCCTTGGGCTAGGTGTCTCCGTACTAGGAGACACTTCTCACACAGGCTTTAATTGTGGAGTAAAAATAACCTTTGGAAAACCACTCTTATCTGCTTTCTTTAATAATTTGTATGAAAGAAAGATGAAGCCCATAGGATACAAGGACTGTGTCTGGTTTCAATTTTGCTTCTTCAATAAAAAGTCAACACTTCCTGTAAGCATTATCAGTCAAAACAAACAAAGTATCAGAGAAAATTATTTTATTAACTTGGAAAAAGTACAAGCTAAAATTGAACATTTTTTAAAAAAGTTTTGACAAAATTAATGAATATTGGTCCTTTCCTCTCCCTGTATTTTAAAAGTCTAAAGTGACTCTTGAGGCCAATTTAAAGTCAGCATTGTTTTTCTTTAAATTCCAGTGCTTCCCATTTTATTAAACTACTGAAGGACAAATGAAATTAATCAGCATCTGTTTCATGTCATCAAAGTTCTTTGTGCAATTATTATTGACATAACTGAACATAGTCATCTTCATGAATGTGTATGCAACAGCATGCTTGCACTTTATTCGAGACAGAAGAATCTATTCATTTGTCTAAAATTTGCTTATTCTGCCTCCTTAACAGCAGAACAGAATTCTGTATGATTACATTTTTTAAGGTTTTCCCGAGTATTTAAGGTAAAAGAATGGCCCGTGATAAATTATTACATGTGAATATATACAAACGCTTTTGAACTATGCTCTACTATATTTTGCGCACTGACTTGATTTATTTTTGTTGGTCCCATAATCAAAACATGCCTCCTGGTACAAAGACCATGATGAATTTGTAGCACCTTTAATCCTTCATTCAGATGATTTTATCTAATTAATATATTCTTCCTAATTTGTACATAGTTATTTAATGTCATATTTATATGGATCTCCACCATCAGTGCATAGCATAGTCACTTATGGAACTTTTGAATATACTGATCTTCAGGCTCACTTCAGACATTCTGAATCATGTATGTAGGGAGACAGTGCATCATCTCTGGTCATACGTAACACTCAACTCTTTCTAATACTCACTTCTAAGTAAAAAGATCCATCAGAATTATTAATTATTAGTTATTAATGTCACTATAAGACCTTAAAATGTCCTCTTCTAAGGTCTTAAAACATTTAAGCTATACAGAAAGAGAAAGAGAGGAGGAAAATTGTGTCAAAGAAAAGGAAAAGGTAACAGGTACTCTCCCATTAGGATATGTTGACTCAAAACACAATGCTGATTTCAAAGTGGATTAGATAGTTTATTTAGCTTGGGAACACAGGCTTAGGTTACCACAAATTCTATGTTCTATCATGTAAGCAACTTCATAAAGTTTTTTATAGTAACAGAAAAAAGAATTCATAAGTCAAGACACATTAAAAATACATTAGTGCAAACATCAGAGAGGAGAGTTAGAGCAAAATAGAAAAAGCCTGCTGTAGTATCAGACTTCACATCATTAGCCCTTTAATTGGTAGAAGTTAGGGTTTTGTTAAGTTCATGTACTCCAGGATGTTTTTACCTGTTAGTTACAGGACATTAGGTGACACAGAAATGGGCAAGGAAAAGGCTATTTGGAGAGCTAAAGATGGCTCAAGACAGATTGTAATTAGGCTCTGAACCTCCAACACTGCAAACTCTCTGCTATCACTATGTCATCTAATCAGCCTTGCAGAAGGTTCAATTTGAAGGCTTAGAATCAAGTCTTCGAACTCTCATTCACAGGCAAGTGGCAAAGATTGAGGACATGGTTCTCAACGTCTTTGTTTGTGCCACTTTGAAGCCCCATTTGTGTGAACAATTGGTTTTAAATTTTCATTTCTTTTAATTAAGTTGTTGGGTTAAAGTAACATTTTTTCCTTTAAGTAACACTCAGCTTATCATAGCACATTCATGTCTAAAAGCCTGTTGAATAGTGCTTATACATATTAATTTTCAACTAAGACAAGACCTGGGATACTTGAATTGTGCAGAGTATAAAGATATCTGCGCCCCTCAAATAGCTTACCATCTTACAGAAGAATGGCACACAGCAGAAAATGCTGTGACAGATCTTGGTAGCTGTTTCTTAAGTGCTGTTCACATACGAACACCCAAGTGCCTTGGCTAATTTTCATTCTCAGAACACTGAACATGGAAACATTTTTAACTTTTTTCTGCAGATGAGGAAACTGAGTCTCTGAGTGGAGTTGAGAGTTCCACTGCAAATGTGTTGTAAAGGAAGGCTTCCACTGTAGCAGAGATAAGGGGACAGGTTACTTAATCCAAGCCAAGCTGTTGTTCCCCTACATGAGACACATGGCCATGTCTGATAAACCACCCAACAGTTTATTAATGTGGGAACCCATTTTCATTTCCTCTTTTTGGCATATCTGTCAGCTTCTTGATGAAACAGTTGTTTCTGCTTCATTGCACTTGGCCATTAGATGGTTTTCTTCCTCTACTATCTCTCTAGCAACCATAATGTTTCATTGTAGTGAAATATTTTGCCCATTTAGAAAGTTTTCTGGGTCTAGTGTATAAAATTCAAATTTGGCTTCTAGAGGCAAATTTCAGTGGTTGTTCTTCACTTGCTTCTTCCTGAAAAACAAAATAAAAGAAAAACAACAACAACAAACCTTTGAAAGTCAACTGTTTATCAAGGAATAGTTTTCTTCATTGGGCTCTTTCAGACCTACATGAGGAGAGTGAGAGAGGGGAGGCTTTTACAGGAACGGCCCTCAAGTTTGTCCATTTTTTTGATGCTCACCCAGGATCAGTGCTCTTTTCCCTGGGGAAGCTGGGGAGTTTTATCCACACAACACTTTCAACAGCATGGAAATATGTGACCTAAGACTTAGCACTTCATCATTCCAGGCCTTTCTACTCACATTTAATATGATTGCTGATTCTTTGTTTCAATGCTGCAAGGCAAAGGGGCTTGTCGAGTGGCTGGAGGGACAGCTCTGGCTAGTCTGAGCTGAAAACTGCAAGGGAAATCCCAATTGTCCTCCTTGTCTTTCAAGCAACTGCTATAGTTGAAGAGTGCTAACTTGGAGTTTCAGCCCACTGTAACTTTGTGTTCTGTGCATGCACTGTAGAAGAAAAACTGGATTTCTCAGCATGTAGCATAAGATCCTGTAAAATCTTTAGCACATCCTAAAAGTTACTGATATTTTCTGCTACTGTGGAACTTTCAGTAAGTGTGGCCTGAGTGTCTTAGGAGTAGAAAAGCAAAAACGAGAGCCTGAACTAAAACCCCAGAACTTACATTAAAAAAACTATATGTTGTAGCAAACATTTGTAGTCCCAGTACTGGGAGACTGAAATAGGAAGATATCAGGGAATTTCAACCATTTTAGCCAATAATGAGCTCTGGTTCAGTAAGAAATCCTCCTTCAAAAAGTAATGTGGCAAGTGATAAAGGAGACACACTTCAAGAAGACACCAAATGTCAAACTCTGGTCTACACACACACATACACACACACACACACATACACAAAGAGTCACTGGAGTGACCTTAATGAATTCTCTATTTTTCTCTGAATTATGCAAATAGTATCCCGAGTAGTATATATTCAGTGTCATCCGAATGACTAATGTTTAATTACTCAAAAAATTAGTTAAACTGGAGAATAACTTTGAAAATATACATACACACATTAACTTTAAATATAAAGCTGTGTGTGTGTGTGTGTGTGTGTGTGTGTGTGTGTGTGTGTGTGTGTGGCAAACCCTGGGCACTCTAGGCATTTGTTCTAACTACTGAGCTGAAACAAAGTGCACTGTGATCTGTTGTTATTGCAATAACACACCTGGCAGAAAGGGATTTGATACCAAACACTACTAGATTTTGAGAAGTAAGTCTATTGGCAGAGGCATTGAAACAAATTTCTTGCATGTTAGTAGCCACTGAGTATCAGCACATTTAAAAAAATAGGGAACATTTATTCATTTCTTTAGCTGATTAATGGGGAAAAAGTTAAGAAAACTTCTGCTTAACTTTAAAGTTGTTATTAAGTTGGAAAAGAAACATTTTTCATATTTTATCACCTGTTGAGACACTCAGGACTGCTATAATTATTATAATACTTCTTTCACATTTTTAAATACAGATTAACCCTTCATTAATAAATGATCAATTAACCATGGTAACTTTCTTCATATAACAACCATGTATACATTCTGTGATTATGGGACCTGGTCTTTTTTTTAAAACGTTTGCATGTATGAGCATGATTAAGGACTTTGTCCAGATGAGGATTTGTCTGGAATGTTCTCAGACACTTGACTCAGTCTGGAAACGGACACATATTTACCAGCTCTCAGTTGTATGGCTGAAACTCAAAAAAAAAATGATCTATGACAAGGACAGAGTTTCAGTGTCACTTCTGTGAAGTGCTATAACTTTTTTTCCTTTTGTCTTCCTCCCTTCCTTCCTTCTTTCCTTTCAATGTCTGTGAAGTTTAGTGTCCATTGCTCACTGTATGCCATTTCTTCATTTGTGTTAGAGAATTCACAAATACAGTACAGCTTCTATTGTTAAGCAGCTCAGAGCTGTTTCAATAAGACCAGTGTGTAGATAAGGAACTAAACTGGTCATGAGGTATTGCCAAGGAAATGCTTCCTGAATATCTCTGAAATGACCCAAATCTATTTCTCAGCTTCTTTCTCTGTCAATATCTTCAATTATAGGAGTCAGTTCAGAGCAGGGAGGACCATTGCTTTCCTCTCCTCACCAAAAAAAAAAAAAAAAAAAAAAAAAAAAAAAAAAAAAAAAAAAAAAAATTAAAATTTTGACAGTATTCACTTGGATGACTCCAAAGGCACTAGGGAGATTCAGATGAAGTCAGTCATTTATCCACTAGCACTTACTTTTCATCCCTCTGCCTAAACCCAGATGTTTGCCAAACTAAGTGATAACATCCATTGTTTTCTAGGCTTGGTAATTAAAATTACCAAGCCTAGAACTATGATCATATTAAAAGAATTGAATCATCTGGAAAATTACAGTATAATTGGAGTCTTGAATAATAATAACAACAAATATAATACTATTAAATAAGGAGTGGTATACTGATACTGTTCATTTGGAAGTATTCAAGTTCTGTTTAAATCTTCTATTTATTTATTTATTACAATTTATTCACTTTGTATCCCTGCTGTAGCCTCCTCCCTTGTCTCCTCCTATTCCCACCCACCCACCCTCCTTCTTCTCCCCTTATGCCCCTCCCCTAGTCCACTGATAGGGGAGGACCTTCTCCCCTTCTATCTGATCCTAGCCGGTAAGGTTTTATCAGAGCTAGCTTCACCATCTTCCTCTGTGGCCAGGTAAGGCTGCACCCCTTAAGGGAAGGGGATCAAAGAGCCTGCCACTGAGTTTGTATCAGAGACAGCCCCTTCTCCCCTTACTAGGGTACCCACTTGAAAACTGAGAAGCCATGGGCTACATCTGAGCATGGGGTCTAGGTCCTCTCCATGCATGGTTCTTGGTTGGAGTATCGGTCTCTGCAGGCCCACCCTGGGCCTAGGTTTTTTGACTTTGTTGTTCTCCATGTAGAGTTCCTGTCTCTACCTGGTCTTTCTCTCTCCCTCTTCTTCCACTAACATTTTAGAAACTTTGTCAAAAAACTTCTGAGTTGAGAATTGTTTTCTGATTAATCTTACTTAGTAGGTTAACTTAACCAAAGAATGTCACAATAAACAGATTTACCATGATAAAGACTGAGACATAAGCGGCAGTGGAGAGAAACACAGCTGAAGAGTACTAGAACAAGTTAGTAATTAAAACAAAGTATAAAAAGCAAATCAAACTATCTTTATTTGTTATTGTTATTTAGAAAATAGATGTGGAACATGAAAAAGTCCCCCTGGAGTAATGAGTGCGTGTTTCTCTTCTTTCCCAGGGTTTTGGAAATCCCTCTGGTGAATATTGGCTGGGGAATGAGTTTATTTTTGCCATAACCAGTCAGAGGCAGTACATGCTGAGGATTGAGCTGATGGACTGGGAAGGGAACCGAGCCTACTCCCAGTACGACAGATTCCACATAGGAAATGAAAAGCAGAACTATAGGTAAGCCGTGTTCAGAACTGCAATGACAGTCTTTCACCTTGCCACTAAGTGACAATATTAACAACAGAGCAGGAGAGAATGTCGATGGTCCCTCTATAATGAATGATGTTGAGATCCTGAAAACCTCGTGACGACGTAACATAGACGTCAGGGTGAAGTCTTAAAGACTAATATTTTGACTTGACACTTTATGTCTTACAGGTTGACAATCATATATTGGCACATACATGTGAGGTGGGATGGTCTCTGGAGGATAAAGTTGGCTGAGTCTTAGAGGATAGTGAACTGAGTGAGGTATCTGTGGCCCTGTTGCAATTTCGTGAGGGTGTAGTGGCGTCATAAATATAAGACGGACAGTGGAACCTAGGCGACTCAGTGGCTTCTAATAATCTAATTTTTTCACAGATTTTAAGGTTTTATTTCTTTTACTTTTCTTAAATTTTAATTCTTTTTCAAATCACCTCTAATGTAACTAGAGGAAATTTTTATATTTTTGAGTAATTTGCATAATATGAGCCAAGGAATTGTCAGGAGAAATTTTTAAATAACATCAACTGTAAAATAAATCTAAATGATGAAGTCAGTACAAACAATAGACTGTGAAAATAGACAAATTACACTATTAGTTAGAATTAGTAACTAGTATATTAATTATTAAATGCTTCTCATTTTTTTTAATGAGCAGCTCATAACCAAGGAAACGTAAAAACTGTGGCTAAAGAAATAACATAAATTTGTTTCACAATCACATACTGTGTTACCACCATGCCCTAAGACTTTGATTAGGTACTGGCCATTTTCAGCCTTGTCTACCTTGTAGTCAAGCTCTGCGCCTATCAGGCTCATAAAAATCTGGTTGGCGGTCCTTGATAGCAGGAGAGTATTTTAGTTGGTGTCATTTCATGACCTGCCAACACAATACTCATCACCTAACAAATCTTTAATTGCATGTGCCTTGATTTCTTAACTGGTAACAATATTCCTCGTTTGTCTTGAAAACGTTATAATGTGTAGTAAAAGAGTGACATATGACTGCATGCAACTTGCAATGCTAACAAAACAAGCCTTGTGGTTCTTCATCCAGTGTTGTTGGTTGTGTCCTCAAAGATCAACGATTTCTGATTCTTGTTTGTCTTTTTAGTCGTAACAATCTATGGGAACTAAAATCCATACCTTTTTTTATGGGATGACTCATTTTTATTATGTTACCTATACAATTGGACCTTTGGAGTTGTAATAACCATTTTCTTAACAAATAGTGATGATGTCCCATAACAGAGGGAGAGAAATAGAGCTAAGATGTAGATAATCTCAGGGTGGGAGCAAGGGTATGCTTTATGGCAGCTCCAGAAACCAACAAAGAGACATTTGTAAAATGCAATGGAGTGTAAGAAATGTTTCTAAGGAGGTCAATATTTTGAGAGTTTTGTAACAAGAAAAACCACTGTAAAACATCAGGGGTACTCTTATGTAAATGTTTTGACCTGAAACTTGAAACTATATGAAACTTGGCTAACATCAGACAGCTTGACAATAGAACTAGCAAGTAATTAGTCTAGTCTTTTTCTAGGCTCCTGAAGAATTTGCCCTGGTTTCTTTCCAAAATGCCACTCAGATTGCTCTAGGCGGTTGTGGTAGAGGGGCTTGTGCATGTGTGTGTGTGCATACCTGTGAGGGGGGGGTGGTCTCTGGAGGATAGAGTTAGGGAAGCTTAATGTAGCGGCATCTGCAAGACTTCCAGGGTCAGGGGTGCGTGACTCTTCGTAAGCATGCAGAAGGAGCTCCAGATTCCTTTAGAGCACATCTCCCCTATACCTTTAGTAAATATTCCTTACGCCTCTGGTAGGTATGATTCCTTTGCCCACATGTCTTTCACACATATGATACAGAACTATGGTTAAAAAAATTCTTCCCAGCTTTGGAATAGTGGACACTATAGGATTTTATTTCATGAAACGATATTTGAAACTTGAGAATCAGAATTTCAAACTAGGACTGTGATTTAATGTCATACTTCTGGTTTTAAAAGAAAGCGAGCTGAGACTAAAGAGTACATTCTTTTTCTCAAGGATAAGGAGGCAATTTTTACTATTATCTTTTTCATGGTGGTTTCTGTTGTAGTATCACTATAATACAGTGGGTGGTTCTGGCTTTCACTCTTAGGAATACTAACAAGAGGTAGAGCTGCCATAATTACCTCTCATAAAATTAAAGTTTAGGATTCTTGTTTTCAGCAAATAGGAAATTAAATCATAAGCCTGCTCTGGTAGATAGATAAAGTGGGTATACCATAGAAGATACTACTCATTCTTTTTTTTTTTAAGGCTTTTTTATGTTCCTTTTTTAAAAATTTATTTATTTTTATCAATTACAGTTTATTCACTTTGTATACCAGCTGTAGCCCCCTCCCTCAGCCCCTACCAATCCCTCCCTCCCTTCCTCCATCATCTCCTCCTAGGCCCCTCCCCAAGTCCACTGATAGGGGAGGTACTCCTCTCTTCCATTTGAGTCTAGCCTATCAAGTCTCATCAGGACTGGCTGCATTGTCTTCCTCTGTGGCCTGGAAGGCTGCTTTCCCATCAGATGGAGGTGATCAAAGAGCCAATGAATTCATGTCAGAGATGCTCCCTGTTTCCATTACTGGAGAACCCTCTTGGACACTGAGTTGTCATGGGCTACATCTGTGAAGGGGTTCTAGGTTCCTTGCATGGTCCTTAGTTGGAGTATCAGTCTCAGAAAAGACTCCTGTGCCCAGATTTTCTGGTTCTGTTGTTCTCCTTGTGGAGCTCCTGTTCCCTTCAGGTCTTTCATCTCCCACTTCTTTCTTAAGATTCCCTGCACTCTGCCCAGAGTTTGGCTATGAGTTTCAGCATCTGCTTTGATACCTTGCTGGGTAGAGTATTTCAAAGGCCCTCTGTGGTAGGTTCTGGTCCTGTTTCCTGTTTTCTCCCTCTTCCGATGTCTGTTCCATTTGCTAAATTCTATATTGTAGGTAGACTGTTTCACATAGGTTCTTGTGTTGGAGTGTTTTGTCCTCAGGCTGGTGGCTCTGTGTTATAGGGTGGTGGAGCTTTTATTAGGCCTCAGTTTTGAAGTGGCTGAGCAAAGAATGGGCCTTGAGGCCTGGCTCTATTTCTCGTTTGCTCTCTGTGTCTTGATTATAGTTACTATGTGAATGGCCATCTCACATGAGTGCAGTCATGCTGTCTCCTTCAGCACAGAATGTAGCACTTTATTTTATGTTATATATATAGTTGTTTTGTTTGCATGTGTGTCTATGAACCACAGTCATGCTTGGTGTCCATGGAGGCCAGAAGAGGATTCCCAGAGACTGGAGTTCGGTTTGGTTCTTTGCACCATGTGGGTGCTGGGAATTGATCTTGTGGAGAAAAGAGCAGCCCCTGCTCTTAACCACTGAGCCATCTCTCCAGCCCCTACAGAACTTCTTAAATGATAAGCCAAAATAAACTCTTCCTTGTTTGAGTTGTTTTTTAATCAGGTGTTTTACCACAACAATGAGAAAAATAACCTATACAATGGAAGAGAAGTGTCAGTAGATAAGCTACTTCCTTGAAGCTTCTCTTACTCAGGGACAGTAATGCCTTCGTGAAATCCTCACACAGTGCTAGTGGTCAGGAGGAGCTCTTCCTTCACTCACTCAAACTACTAACACTAAGATTTGTGTAGTAGTTTATTTTTAATGAATTTATCTTCTCATATTAAGCATCTACATAGTGACATTTGGAGGAAGACCTATTTTAAAGATTGGGAAAGTGAGGTTAGAGTCCATTGCTCTGCTCAGATTCATTTGCATTCCAACTGAAATTTGAAACCTTGAGGGTTATTCTTCAAATTTTTACATTTTCCATGTTATTTTAAAGGTTTTGAATTAAATTCACAAAGTGTTCTTTTTATGATTTAAAGTTTTTATTCTTATTTTTTTCCATAGATATCTTTAATTGGAATAGTACTCTTGCTTCCCCCTTTTCCTTTCCTCGCTCCAGCCTTTTTCCAGGTGCTCTGTGTGAACCCCTCTACTCTCAGTGTCGAGTCTCTTTTACTTTTAACATAATTGCTACATGCATGCACACATATTTTTAACATAATTGCTACACACATGTCTATGCACAATATACGTAATAGAACCTGTTGACTCTGTTTCTATTGTTTGTGTATAGCTGGTTTCAAAGTTCACCACTCTTCACTGAGTGACCAATAAAGGAGCTCATCCCTGGCATCGGCTAATTCTCCCCCTAGCTGTGAATAGTTGCATATAGTTCTCAGAAATTTTATTCTAAAAATTCTTTAGCTATAGTCACAGATCTGAGTTTAAAAAGAAAAACTATTCCCCATGTTCCTGACATACTGATTAAAAATAAGTGTTATGAACAGATAGATTAGTTTAAAGATGTGCATATAATACACACATTTCCCTTTTAACCTCCAAGGAAACTTCAAATGATTTTCTCAGATGAAAATGAAATTTATAGAACCCAAGAGAACATGAATCAGAAAAAATAATAATGTAAGAGTGTCATGATAAACTTATCATATGGAATGACATGCAATCAATGAGAAATTATTAAACACTTCCCCTGGAGAGGTGGCATTATTCATATCCTTGTCATCTGACACCCTGGCGATTGTGCAATCTTCCTTCCTCTCATCTTGCTACTCCCAAATACTTCTTCCTCACTATAGCTGAAATGATTTTTCATTAGACAATCAGATTTATCCTCTTTCCTAGATTTGAACAATGTTTTAACATCTGCAAGTGAAGTCTACCACTAAGACTTGATTGCTTTTTGTCACGACTGACTTATCCAGCCGTTTTCACCTGTCTTATTCAATTCAAAAACCTCCTCATTGTGATGATGTTTTCAGTAACTGTTGACAAATTTTCTAAAACTTTCCTGCCTTATTGGTGTCATATCCATACCCAACATAAACAAGCCTAAGCTTATTACATGAATATGTTTTACACAATTCAGATTCTGTCT